AAGTCCCAACTCCTGAGCCACAAACCCCCGGGCCTGGCCACCTGCGCCCTGGGGAGGCGGCCAGCCCACGCCTGGACCAGCAGCGTGAGCAGTGGCTACAGCAGCCTGGAGGAGGAGGAGGAGGAGGAGGAGGAGGAGGAGGAGGAGGAGGAGGAGGAGGAGGAGGAGGAGGAGGAGGACCGCCTTCTTCAAGAGAGCGCCCCAGGGCAAGCCCCGCTCTTGGCCAGCAAGTTCAAGGCTGCACTGTTTACTAGTCACTTTGAGTGATGTCTTGGTCTTCTTGGGCTGCTGTAACAAATACCACAGATTAGGATGTGGAGAAAAAGAAGGAAACCCACAATTACCTCAGCCAAGAGGAAACCCGAGAGAAAATTCATAAACACAAGTTAGCAGTCACAGACAAGTTGAAGATGACCTTGAATCCGAATGGGACTTACACTGGCTTCACCGAGGTGCAGGTGGAACTTCTGCAACGCTCTCGCAGGCGCCTCTGCGGGCTAGAAAGGGCTGCTCCCAGCAGCAGCGGGCTGCATGAACACTCTTTTCAATTTAGCAGCACGTAACACCGTGGGGGAAGTGATCGAGGGCTCTGCTTCAAAAATTTCTTCTTGACCATGAGCTCTGCCCAGTTTGCACTTTATAAGCGCTGTTACCGGGAAGATCAAGTCTGTGCCCCAAGCTCTCAGACCCGGAGCATCCACTCTGCCTGCGTTTGGCAGCAGGGCCCAGAACAGGCACACTTTGTTTTGTTCTCCGTGAACATGAAATTGGAGAGTGGGAAGCCTCCAGCCTTCCAGAAAGGCAGAACTTCTTGCGTGTCTTGGACAAGGAAGAGGATGCGCAGCTGTGTAACCTGAAGAGGCGCTACAGGCCTACAGACAGAAGCTGGAGGCGGCCCTGAGCGAGGTGTGGAAACCCGGTTCAAGGCCGGCTCCCCGTGGCTCAGGGCGCGCAGGGACTGAGGACAAACCAGCAGCCAGTCTCTTCTCGGAGGGCTGTTTCCTGGCCCCGCGATGCGAGAGCCTTCCCCCTTTTATCTCTAGAGTTAGTTCTCCAAACGCGCGCAGCAGCCCCTGCGCCTGGCGTCCTCTGTCCCGGATCCTGCGAGCTTGTCTATTACAGCAGCGTGTCCCTCCCGCCAGCTGGGGAGCTGGGCCACGCTAGTGCTTGGAAGCAAGGACTCTGGGTTTTGTTTTCTCGTTTTCTTTGTTGTTTTAATTATTCGATGATGATGTTGAGCTTAAGGATGTGCAAATGATTTTTTTTAAAACTTAACAAGGAATCTAACTTGTCCTATGTTGAAACTACCTGTCTTTTATTTTATTTTCTTTTTCAATATCAGAGGGAACAGCCATGTGAATGAAAGGCACAGGAAGCCGGGAACTCTGAGGAATTTGGAGGGACTTTGGAGGAGCTTGACATTTCAGGAAAGTAAAGAGCAAGTTTGGAAGAAGGCGTGAGTAGAGTTGGAGGAGCTCTGAGTGAGGGTGGTTTGGGTGATGAGCTGATGGTGGAGAGAGAAAGGTGTCTTTGTTTGTAAAGGGGTTAAAAGCATTCCGTTTGAGGTGTTAGATCCACTGTAGTGCCGCTTGGTTTCTTAGTGAGTGAAAAATGGAAACAGCGCCAAAGAAAGTAGGAGCCCAAAGAGAGGGATGGTGACTGATGCCGACCGAACGTTAGCATGCCTGCCGGCAGGCGATGACACACAACCGGGCAGGGGAGCCTGCCTTCCCGGGGTCTGCCTTCCCAGGTCCTGCCTTCCCAGATTCTCTTTTCAAGTGGAAGGTGCAGCTTCCCTGGGCAGGTGGAACAAGGACAGTTTGCTAACTCCTGCTAGGTTATTGCTTTTCCCTGAGGTTGTTTTCAAAGCTGAAAAGGAGTCTGGGTAAGGACCCCCGTTTCTCCGGATGGTTGACTGGGAGATTTGTCCAGGAAAGAGCTCCCTGCACACTTTGTGACCATCACTCCTCCGTTTCCCTTTTCCTTCCCCTCCCCTTCTTTTCCCTCCTCCCCTTCCCCTTCTCCCTTTCTCTTATGAATGGAAGTCCGTTCTATGTCATGGAGAAGAGGGATATGGATGTTAGACCCAATACTACCAGAGCCTCGGTTCGGAGGACTGCACTGAGGAGGAGGACAGCAAGAAGGGGGAGGGCCCACCCTTGGCGACCACGGAGGGGCAATTTATGGAAACATTTTAACAACAGTGCATGTTCCTTCCGACCAAAGAAATGCATGTGCAATAGAAGCCTCCCTTAAAGCAAGTTAAATAACCTCATTTTACGCAGCAATTAATCCGAAAACAATGGGAAAGGTGCACTGTGGTTCTAGAGAGGGATTGACAGTCTATTTTTCTGTCTAGCTATTTTTTGTTTTTATAAATTCCCAAGGAATTGTTAATGCTTTGGTGACACCTACTGGATTCTTTGTGAAATTTCAAGGTGCTTCAGCTCTGCCTTTTTCTCAAACTGTGCCTTTTAAGGCATGTGTTTCCCTCTTGGGGGCTCTTCTGACTGTCAGAGAACTCCCTCTCGGGAGCAGAAGAAGTGTTGGCGATGCGGTGCCACATGTTACTGAGGCAATCGTATCTTCCTAAGCTTTTCAACGAAAGAGAGAAAAAAAAGTAGAGCTAGCTATACAATATGTATGGCACATCTTGTTTAATTTTGCATGTGACTTCTTTTTAGGGCCTTGATGAGGTTTTAGTGTCATTGTCATCCAACACGTTATTATTCAGGGAATGCCTTCACAGTTTTTACACTGGTTTTCCTATTCAGACTGTGGCTTGGGTTTGAGTACGGTGTTATCAACCACCTGCTCTTTTCTTTACCCATCCCAGTAAGCTTATATTTTGTGAAGCATTTGTTTCTCACATTAAGACACTGTTAGAACCTAACGTAGTAGCCGATGGGTATCTGTGGATTTCTTTTTTACTTGAAGTAGATTGTCTAAAATAGGCACCCTCCCCTGTATCATCCAGACCCTGTTCATCATCGTGTGCACTACAAGTTGCAATTCGGAAAATTCTTACTGTTCTTGAATATTGATGCTCTCTCCAAGACACTGGTTACTGCAGTGAGGTTAATGTAGAAAAGAAGGGCCAGGAAGGCCACCGATTTTTAAAAATCATTGTGCAAATTCTTACGTTAAATTAAACTATCTAAGCTTTGCTGTAATACTGCTTTCTCTTCACTATGTGATGGTAGAAGAATGATGTCAAATGAAGGGGGGAGATATTGCAGGGGAGCATTGCAAATTACAGACATAAAAGTTATGATATTTATAATTTTGAGGAGTGTAAGTTTATTTTTATAGGGAACACTTTTCTTCTCTAAAATTGTTTTTGGGCCGTAGCCGGTTTGGCTCAGTGGATAGAGCGTCGGCCTGCGGACTGAAGGGTCCCAGGTTCGATTCCGGTCAGGGGCATGTGCCTTGGTTGCGGGCACATCCCCAGTGGGAGGTGTGCAGGAGGCAGCTGATCGATGTTTCTCTCTCATCCATGTTTCTAACTCTATCCCTCTCCCTTCCTCTCTGTAAAAAATCAATAAAATATATATTTCTAAAAAAAATTAAGGTCCTTTTAAAAAATAATAATAATTTAAATAAATAAATAAATAAAATTGTTTTTGGAATGGCAATTTGTTTCCATTTTTAAAAGCTGATGTTGTAAAAAAAAAACATATTAATGAGAAATCAGTGCCAAGTACCTAATTGATACTCAATATTTATTGAATGAATCCCATGTCTTAGTGAAATTGACTTTATTAAGTGATATCATACTACCCTCTTTCGAAAAATAAAAGGAAGGACTTTTATACATAATTGCTTATATATGCTATATTATCTCCGGAAGAACACATAAAAACTGATCATACTGGCTGCTCTAGGTGACAGAGCAACATGGTGAAACTTTTCAACTAGCATTTTGTCTCTCTTGGGTTCTGAACTGGGAATATGTTATCCTACTCACAATATAGTGTAAACTTTAAAACTTTCTGTTCTAGCCTCTTCCTCGGGGTCAATGTCAACTTTACCTACCCCGTTTCCAGAATTCGGGTTCTATACATTTTTGAAAAATCACTATTCTGAGAGTTTGCACACCTCGCACCTGTCCTTGCAGTGATCCTTAAGCCTTAAATGGCCCTCTCCACCTAAGAAAATAACACCCTTGAAATTAAATCAAGTGGGGGGTGGGGAAGAGACAGCCATCAAAAACATTTTAGAGATAAATAGGACACTTGGATCTCACAATATAATACATGTAATATTTTATTGCTGTGACTTTTCTTAGGTCTGATAATGGTACTGTGATTATGTAGAAAAATGTCTTAACCCTGGGAGTTAATGTTGAAGAACTGAGAGGTGAAGGGTCATGACGTCTGCAACATGGCCCCACACACAAAAAAATGTGTGCACATATAAATGTGTATTGATTACAGACAGATTTAAGTACATATATAAATACAAGTCTATATGCAGATACAGACATTATAAACACTAACATGAGAAAATGTTACCAACTGATTAGCCTATGCAAAGGTATTATACTATTCTATTCTTCTAACTTTTCTGCAGGCTTGACATTTTTGAAAAAAACAAGTTGAGGGAAACTTTAAAACCTTAAGTTTCCCAAAATCAGCTCAAACATCACTCCGCAGAATACACGCAGCTGGGAAGTCACTCCCTTTTCTGCATTTCCAAGGCCCTTTCCTTATGTTCACCCTTCAATGGACTGAGTGAAAGAACCAGGGGGCACCTACCTCCAGCCCATAGATTTCAATGCCCTCACGTCTACTCCTCTAGGTTCCTGCTCACACACGCACCCCGGCAAGGCCTAGGATATGCAACTGCTTAAAGGGATCAGACACTGACCAGGAATGTCCAAATCTCAAGAACGGGTCGGAAGGCCTGGGGTGAACTTGCCAAATTCCTGCCAGGGAGGTGCTGACGAAGGCAAGGGATAGAGGGGGGGACACAGTTGTGGCAAAAGGCAGAAGCAGCAGTCGATGCCGAAGTACATAACTTTATTGGACACGAGTGGGGGTGTAGGAGACGGCTAGGAATCAGGCTCTGTGACAGGTGGTGGCTTCTCGTCATCAGGGGGACAATCAATGAAGTCAGCCAGCATGGCAGCTGTGTCATCCTGCTCCTTTGAGGGACAAAGACATGATTCAAAACAGTCTCACACACATACAGGAGTGGGTCAGGCTTGGGCAAAGCCCTTCCCTAACACAAGCAACCCCCTCTTCCTCCTGCCCGCCCCGCCCCACCTTCCCCACCCAGAGATGCCCTCCCAGCCTGGCCCACTCACCTTTTCCTGGGGAGGGGCCGTCTCCGTCTCCATTTCCTCAGCTGCAGATGTCTCTGGTGGCGGGGGGGACCTCATCACCCCCACCCTCAGTCCCCTCGTCAACAGGGCTGGCGGAGGAGCACAGGGCTCCTCTTCCACTAGCTCCTGAGGAGGTGGCCCGCTGGGGGGCTTCCCCCTTCCTTCTCCAGCTCCTCCTGGGAGGGGAGCACCTCAGGGGCCAGTGTGGGTGCAGTCTCAGCCCCACGCTCCTCCTCGGCCCCGGCTCCTCCACTTCCAACAGTAGCCCAGGCTCTGGCTCTGGCTCAGGCTGCACCTTGGGGGACTCGGGGGGAGGCAGAGCTGGAGGCAGGCTGGTGGGTGGAGGTCCTCCTTCTTCTACCTCAGGTTTTTGGGCAACATCGGCTGCAGATTCATGAACATTGGCTATTTCTCCTTCCTCATCACAAGGAGGCAGACACCAAGAATCAGGCAACTGTCACTTTCAGTTCTCCCTCGACGCAGGCACAGAAAGAGCACTGTGCTGAGTGCCAAGCCTTCAAGTTCTCGTTCAGCTGCCTCAGTAGTGTGGCTTTGGGGGAAGTAGCTCAGCTCCCTGGCCTCCGTTAGTCATCCATAAAATGGAAATTATGCCACCACCACCACCATTCCCATCTGTGGGAGCCATGCCAGAGTCACTGGATACTCAAGGTCAATTAGAGAGTGAAGGTCTTGCTGTTAGCACGCCGATGGCCAAGGCCACTCTGAATATGGGAATCTTAATCAGTATGTTCAAGGCTAAGATGCCATACACAGGTGCAAGGACAGCAATCTCATGGTACACTGTGCACATGTGCCTTTCTGTAGCCAAAATATGATGTCACTATTGGCAAGAGGCCTCTTTTGTCTAAGTCAGCGGTTCTCAACCTGTGGGTCACGACCCCTTTGGGGGTTGAACGACCCTTTCACAGGGGTCTCCTAAGACCCTCGGAAAACACATATATAATTGCATATTGTTTTTGTGATTAATCACTATGCTTTAATTATGTTCAATTTGTAACAATGAAATTGGGGGTCACCGCAACATGAGGAACTGTATTGAAGGGTCGCGGCATTAGGAAGGTTGAGAACCACTGGTCTAAGTGCTAAAATCCACGTGACTGACCAGCTAGAGTGGTGCGGAAAAGGGGGAAAGGCTGGAGAGGCTGGAGAGAGGCTACTAAGGCTGCTGAGGTTAGGAGCTCAGGGGCCGCTGCTATGTGAGGCGGTAGGTCTAGAGGCAGCGTGCGGCTGCTCAGATAATGACTGTGGGTACAGAGGCTACTGCTACTTTGTGGGAAAGATGTGTGAACGGCCATGGCCAGCATGGCTTTCGGGTTCAAAGGCTTGGAGAAATAGCTGAAGTGCCAATTGACACACAAGACAAGAAATATAAGAAATGTTAATTTTGAAATTATGGGGGGAAGCCAGGGAAAACTCAACTGTAGTAGTCAAGTTCCATTTTATTTACTAGAATACACAATTGCCTTTTAGGAATGCAAACAGACATATCAATGGTAATGTTTAGTAAACAATAAGATTATCAGGTTTGGGGGGAGTTTGCTTTAGGCCATTGAGTCAGCAGTAGGTAATAAAATGTAAATATTCACCCTGTGAATATCAAAACCCAAACTCAGCCTTCTGGTGGACTTTCCACATTTATATTAATTACTGTTGATCTTGGTTTCCAGCAAAGATGTATTTGTTCAACTGGTGTACAGCTGCCTATTGAGACTTTGTTGTGAAGAATTGTTTTGTCTGATGGACATATGGCCACTGGCTCCTACAATGAGGACTCCTGCTTATACACCCACAGCTTCTCAGGGCTTCTCTGTCTACCACCCGTCTTCCAAGAACGTCCAGCCCCTGACAGAGGGGCTCTAGCATAGTAGGGCACTTGGACCAGCAGGCAGGATGTTGCTCCTACACTTGGACCAGCAGGCAGGATGGAGCAATGAGTGCTCTCACACCTGGTGCTGTGAGGAGGATTTAGGAGTAAGTACTCCAAGAACTAGGTCCTGCTTTGACACTTGGTGTAACCATTAGCAGAATTCAGAAGAATATACAGACTCAGAACAGCTGTACTCTGACACCATCTCAACATGCCCTGAGCTCCCTGCTTCACACCTGGGGTGTTAGATCCTCAGCTTCCCCTCTCAGCCCCTCCCGGAAAAGAAAGGTCCCACTCGATAAAGAAGACATCTTTCTGGACTCGCTATAGAAGACAAAAACAAGAGGAAGTGCTGGCTGAATTGCAGGTGTGCTGGGATTGGTGCCAAGAGGCAGGCAGAGCTGGCCGGGAGCTCTAGCCCGTGGGGTACAAGGGACTAAAAGTGTTGCACATAAGTCAAGGGTTTTGATTCAAACTCACTGGGCCTGGCAGGCGCTTGAGAAAGGAGTTAAAAACAAATTGTGATGCACCCCGGCCCAGGGTTGGGTTTGCTTGAAGCTCTGTGACTCGGAAGGTGGAGGTAGGGAGGCGCAGCCATCCTGCCAGGCCCTGGGACACCCAGCCAGGCTCTTACGTGCATCCTCTCCCATCCCCTCCGAGAACTGGAGCCTTAACTACCCATCGAGACCAGGTCCTTTGATGGGGGCCTCGGTGGCTGTTGGAGATGACTATGAAGGTGAATGTGTGCAGGGGAAATGGGTGGGCTTCCCATTCAAGATAATCCTACAAAGCCAAGTTCCAAAGGACGTGAGGAAGTCTAACACTAAGAAAGAAAGCCAATTCTCAGGAGGCTAATTCACCCAGGCCAAAGTAGGGTGATAGAGCAACCACCAAACAACTGTTCTGGTTATATAGGGTCCACAGGGATAAAGGAGAAATAACAGGAATCATAACAACAAGGAAATGTGAAACCAAAGCAAACAGAAATGAAACAAGGGCGGGGATTGTACTTAAACAACAAGAAGTAAAATCAAAGGAAATGAGTGTCATGCAAGAAACAAAGGTGAACTTAGAAATTAGTAAAAACACATGGACAGCTGTGGGGAGCTGATATAGGGTTAAGCCTCGGACTGACCTGTGGGCAAAGTCACAAACAATTCCCAGTTTAGAGGGCACAGTCCTCTTAGCATAATTAGGCTTGACCTTATGAGGCTCTCTAGATCTCATCTGGGAAGCTAATGGGCTGAGGGAGGTGCAGGAAGTGTAACTATGGTCAAAACAAGTGAAACTCACAAGAACTGTGTAACTATAGAAACCACTACCTTGTTTACCTCTCACTATAAAATAAAGGCTCAGCTTGCCTTGGGATCTCTCTCTGTGGCCTCAGCCAGGCACAGGGAAGATCCACGGAGACTAAGGAAAGCTAGAGAGTTCTGAACACTGTCTCCGTGTAAAACATTCTTCGCCGACTCTGTCCACACCTTTGGGAACCCCTGGACCCTCTGGACCCCAGCATATTTTTTTTTTTCAGAACTCTCTAGCTTTCCTTAGTCTCCGTGGATCTTCCCTGTGCCTTGCTGAGGCCACAGAGAAAAAGGAGAGAGATCTTCAGGCAAGCCTAATTATGCTAAGAGGACTGTGCCCTCTAAACTGGGAATTGTTTGCGACTTTGCCCACAGGTCAGTCCGAGGCTTAACCCTATATCAGCTCCCCACAGACAGCCCTAACCGGTTTGGCTCAGTGGATAGAGCGTCGGCCTGCGGACTGAAGGGTCCCAGGTTTCATTCAGGTCAAGGGCATGTACCTTGGTTGTGGGCACATCCCCAGTAGGGGGTGTGCAGGAGGCAGCTGATTGATGTTTCTCATCGATATTTCTAACTCTCTATCCCTCTCCCTTCCTCTCTGTAAAAAAATCAATAAAATATACTTTTAAAACATAGACAAATTTAATTGTTAAATAATTCTATTTAATTACTGTATAATTACTAAATAATAATAATTTCTAGACCAAAAGACATGAGGGTTCTGTGAGTAAAGTATACTATCTGATAGAGAATAGAAGTAGTGAATACCGTTTGACTTTCTTAGAAAAATTAATACCAAAGTAGAAATGTCAAAATTATAAAGGTCATTGCTAAAAGAACAGTAATACTTTATAGTTTCCAAGTCAACGGGAGTAGGGAGGAATGGAAAAAAAAAAAAACTAACCATCTAATGACAGTTTAAAAGTAGGAAAACAGAAGTAAAGAAAAACATAAATACGTTGGTAGACACAGTACAGCAGTAATCACACAAAAAGGTTAGCAGGTTAAACTCATCCGTTAAAGAACAGACTACCAGTTTAGATTTTTTTAAATCCAACTACATGTTGCTTACAAGTAACAGAGAAAATATGAAATAAAGAGAAAATAAAAAAAAACAAGGCCAGGCAAATATTAAAGGAAAACAATATTAATATGAGACAAAATTTGAGGCAAAAAAATAATAAGAGAAATAAAGAAGTACAATATATCATGATTTTAAAAAACACTCCACTAAAGAGATATAACAACCATGAGCTTCTATCATCTAAATATCTAAATATCCTGTCTCAAAATATATAGAGTAAGAACTGGAAGAATTACTAGGAAATATTGATAATTACCCAAATGCAGAAGAAGAGCTTAGTGCACTCACCAGAAACAAATAAATCAGGCAATAAGAATATAGATCATTTAAAAAAAAAGACTATAGATCATTAGAACCACATAATTAAAAGATTGATCTAACAGAGAAATATGTAACCCTGCTCCCAAAAAGCATGGAATGTAAGGTTTTTTAAATTTTTTTATTGAGTTCAGAGAGGAAGGGAGAGGGGGGAGAGGTAGAAACATTAATGATAAGAGAGAATAATCGATCAGCTGCTTCCTTCACATCCCCACAGGGGATCGAGCACGCAACTGGGGCATGTGCCCTGACTGGAAATTGAACTGTGACCTCCTGGTTCATAGGTCAACACTTATCCACTGAGCCATACCAGGTGGTCTGGAATATAAATTTTTTCAGGCATGTAAAGCACATTATAAAAATTGACTTTGCACCAGGTCGCAAAGGTAGTATTGACAAATTGGAAATAATCCATTTCACAGACAATAGGGTGATTAAGGCCTGGGGTGAGGCGGGAACCAGGTAGAGGGGGAAAATGAAGGAAAAAGAGGGACATCTGTAATACTGTCAACAATAAAGGTTTAAAAATATATATCTACAGATGATCATATTAAGAACAAACTTCTGGAGAAACCAAGATGGCGGCATAGGTAAACACTGGAAATTGCTGCCTCGCACAACCACTTCAAAAATACAACTAAAAGACAAAACGGACATCATCCAGAACCACAGGAAGGCTGGCTGAGTGGAAATTCTACAACTTGAAGGAAAGAGAAAAGCAAACTGAGACTCAGAGGAGGTGCAGAAGTAAAGTGCGGAGGTACAGAGGTGCACGCGGAAAGGGCTGG